TTTTCTTCTTCTCATTCCAGCTGCTATATTATGACCATTTTCTAAAGACATATGTTGCAGAACATACATTGAGCTTAAGAAAAATTACAGGACAAGAATAAACTATGATGATTATAATGTATAAGTGCTCATACTGGAATTTTATGCAGCAAAATTCTAAATAAATACTTCACTGTTGATTTGAGCCAGCATATGGGATATTCTCTTTTCCTTTATAAACTGATTATTATTTTTCTTGCAGCTGTTATGCAAATGCTGTGCTGCAATGCTTAACTTTTACTCGGCCAATTGCTTCTTATCTTCTTCACGGGTTGCATTCAAAAACATGCAAGTATCACTTTTATGATTCACTGCTAGCCACTAAATTGCGAAGATCATCATTTTCTTATATCCATGTGTGTTGCAAATATATATTCAGGTCTAAAGATAGACTGGTGCTTTACCTGCAAACTTGAACATCTAATTCAGAAGGGACAAGCTACGAAATCTCCTCTATCCCCTGTTGGATTACTGTCTCTAATACAGCCGATTGGGAGAGAAGAAGATGCACATGAGTTTTTGAGGCTAGTATCTGATGGAACTTGGAAGCCATTATTGATTTAGAGGAAATAAAACTTTAAAATGAAAAAGCTGACAAAAGTAATTTTGATTTCTATCAGAAATGTGGTAGACAAAATGGAATCAACATGCCTTGAGGATGCTGGTGCCTCTGGTTCATCTTCTGAAGATTCAAGCCTTATGGGCCTGACTTTTGGCGGCTATCTCCGGTCCAAGGTCTATATTTATGTTGATATAATTAAAACCTCAATGTCCACCAGTCTCTGTTTTATGTTTCTGTTTACAAGTTAGTATGGGTTTGTAGCATTGTTATACGCTACCATGTTTTCTGCTAACAGTTTCATTTGACAGATCAAATGCATGAAGTGTTCAGGAAGATTTGAAAGATTTGACCGAATGATGGATCTTACCGTGGAGATCGATGGGAATATATGGACACTTGAAGATGCTCTTAAACAATTCACAACATCTGAGACACTTGGCGGAGATGATAAGTATAAGTGCAGTAGGTGTGTTTATTTCTCTCTCATACTTTGGAGTAAATGGTTTCTTGAAGTTCATCACATCTTTATAATTATTTTTGTTATCTGCTGACCTCATAATGTCTTACTGGATCTGCATCATCT